GTTATTGTGAGGTGTTAATAAACCAGTATGTTTATTTACATTGAAATTAGAAATGTGCAGAACACTATTAAAATATAGTATGTGTTTGTTTTCAAAGTTTCAGGTGAAAAGTACAAAGTATAGATTTACTACTTATTTTGTTTTGTCAATCCAGCAATGTAACAGAGGGATGAAATGTGAAAAGTGTATTCCTACTGCTTTACCAGTCATTTCAATAAACATGTGTCTGGTGTTCCTTCTGTATATTAAGAATACCTTGAAAATCAAATGCTGACTTCACAGGTATCATGAGGGGACATGCTTTTATGGCCACATAACATAAAATGGGAATAATCTAAATTATTGTATGCTTCAAAACATTCTTACTCCTTCATGACCAGCAGACCTGAATAAATGCTTTATGTTGACCAGCTCTTTGTTATTATAATCCTGCCTGCAGGAATTAAAACCCAGGGTGATTAGAGGAAAAATGGCATCCAAATAGTTGTGAAGATTAGTATTTCAGTCCCGAGTGCAGTGGATTTATATTTGCAACATTTTCTCCCTCATAATGCATCACTTTATTTGTTTTTAAGCCAATTGCATTTCAGTTTTGTCGGACTACTTGGTGCAAGAAGGGAACTGGCCTGGACTTGGAATCCAATAAATATTGAGCTGTGTTGTTCTAATGTGCTTTCTGGTTGTATTCCATCTACCCTGCACAGAGATGGGAGGTCAAACAATATTGGCTGTACCAGCAGAGATATTGTGTTCAATAGACCTTCATGCACTCAGCCAGTGGAGACACTTTTTAATTAAAACATTCTATAATGATTCACTGGCATCTGGAAATTTGTGCATAGTTAAAGATAAACCAGTAAAATAAAATGCAGATTTCAAATGTAGTTCTGTAGTTCTGCTAGCTCATTTATCAAGAATGTATTTTAATTTCCTCTTTTACGCACTATAATAATGACTTTGCCTTTTTAAACAACGTCTCAAAGATTAACTATTTTTCCCCTTCCTCTCTTTTCTACCTAATGTTTAATTCCAAATGTAGATATTGCATAAAGAAGTCCAGATCAACAAGAACTTGTATGAGATCTACAATTCTGTAACTTCCAGAAAAGGAGCTACTTGGTTCCTAATGCTTAGATTTACTTCTGCTGTCATATTATCCTTCAGTTGTAAAGATTTATTTGGCCTGGGCCAGTTCCAAACTAAACCTTGATTTTGCAGTCTCAACAGATGCTGATATTTTCAAATTAAAATGATTCATTTATATTAAACCTAGGTTGAATATCTCAGTTTATACATTTGAAAGGAAGACCATCTCTTGATGATAAATATCTAGAATATTGTACTAGATGGGGCAATTTATTTGCAAAGTACAGCTCTCAGTCACTCAGGTCAGATGAGAACTGTAAATCCAATCTGCATTAATACAGAGAAAGAGCAAATCTGAAATGTTATTTATCAGTCTGTGACTGAAGACAATCCTCACTGTCCTTAAACTTGATGGAGGGAAGAGGAGGGTGAGAGAAAGGAGGGGGAAGGAACGACATGGAGTCTACTGCAGACAAGTTATCCATGTGATATATGAAAAAGTCTGATTTTCCATGGGATTCTTGGAAAATTTGGACTCAGCCATTGTAAATTAATTAGCTTTCCTATGAAAGACATTGCTTGCCAGATTAACCTCAAAATGTGCAGCAAAACCAAAAGAAATCACAAAAAAATAGAGGTGTGGAAGAAGAAAAGATTTAATTTTCCTAATTTATCTTTAAGCCTGCTGTGTATCACTTTCGCCTTTCAAGGACTATGATAATAAAGCTATTTTTATTCTCTTCCCTCTCCTCATCCACTGCCTAAAATATCCCAGCCAGAGGAATGGATTTGCATTTTCTGCTCCACGGAACTTGATAAGAAAGTGTTCGGTCTGCAGAATGTGCCCAGAACTTGCCTGGCCCTGCTTTGTGCAGGAATCAGAAGTTTAGCACCAGAGGATTAGGCAGGAGAATCAAGATATTTTTCTATTTTTGCCATGCTACAAAGAAGTCTAGAATCTTTTAAACCAAGGAGAATGTTTGCAATATATTTTTGGTACTATCACTGTGTAGTTTCCTTTCTGTGGAAGGTAACATCAGCCCTGCTCTTTACTTTCAGTGCCTAAAGGGACAATATCTTCATCTTTGCCTTTCTATTTATGGCATGATAGAGGATGGTACTTTAAATCAACTCGCCAAATTGTTTCTAAAGGTCACAAAATACCTGCTCAGCTTGTTGAAGTTTCATTTATGAGGTCTAATTTTTTGAGATGTGGAAGGAAAATTAAAATTAAGTCCACTGAATTATATCTACAGCAAAGGCAGTTTTTTGGTAGATTTTCAATATTTTTTCCATTAAGAGGATTTTAGAAGTACCTTTTCATGCAAATGAGGCCTTCATTTTTAAGTGGTGTGCAGGGATCCATCATTTTAAAAAGTTGACTTCACAGAACATGACACCTGTGATGGTGCTTCTGGTGCAGATGCTGCCCAAATGGACTTTGGGATTGCCAAGGGATATGGAGAATGAGCCTCTGCTCTGAGTGCCTGTGGAAAACTGCATGAAGTGTTTGGAGGCTTTTAGGGACACGGTGTAATCAGTATGCCTGGAGTAGAGATAAATGCACACCGAGTTTGAAGAGCCTTATCTCCAGTCTAACTGTCAGTGTGAAGTCATGTTGAACTTGAGATTTCAGACAAAACTTTAATTAATTATGAATAGGTATCAAAACTGCTGGTATCAGTGGTACCTGCTGGTTTGACATTTGGAACACTTTTGCATCCAAACCCTCATAGCCAGGTTATTGCTCATAAGGTATGAATATGAACTATCTTGAAACAGGTGTATTGCTATAAATTTCCTCCCCAGATAATATGAAGAACCACAGCTCATTAAATGCAACAGATAAAAAGTAATTGATAGTTCTTTATGGCTCCCAAGTGGCAGCTAATTTCAGCTGATGTAAAGCAGATAGTGACATCTCACTAAGGATGGGCAAAGGATATGAACATTTGCTTCCCCTTTTGAAGAGGATAACATTCACACTCACAGCTTAAAGAACTAACTTTTTGGCATTGTTTGCTTCAGGGCATGAACCTTTGTAGGAATGCAGCAGATCAAGTCATGTTGAAAGGCTCTATATTAGACACTTTCCACTATTATATGGAGTATGTAATTACAAGTAATAGCTCTGCTGCTGAGCATTTGAATCTTCTTCATATAAAGTGCATGTGCACACATTCTCTTGGGATAATTACACATGACATTGTAAACACCCAGCTGCTTGAGGGATATTCTTCCATTTTCTGGGTCTGTACTCCATCTCCACCAAAAACTAAGCTAAATTCTGCTACAATCAGAGTGACAAATGCCACTTCGGTCATCTCGCACTGTGAAGAATATATTTCGTTTGTTTGTTTTCATCCACTACTCTGTGGAGAAATATGTAAAGCCAGAAAAAACCCTCAACATTAGCATTTGCATTTGAATAAAATACTTTTGCTTCCTTTGTGTATTGAAACCTGCTTTTCAGACTAAGTAAAACAATTGTCTTTCTTCCTAAATATCCTGAATTTATTGCAATAGTTCTTAATTTAAACTGTAATTGCTCTTCCTCGTCCTTTTTTAAGAGAAGGAATCCTGAGTAGGATTCAAGAGAAGGAATTCTGAGTAGCTTTGTGGCAGTGAAGTAATTTCTAAAGCATGAGAAACTAGCAACTGGTGTAATAATGTCTGTGCTCACAAGACTTTGTTAATCTCTTTAACATTGCATTAGCATTCTGTTGTACATATTTGGGTGGTTTTCACTGTGTGACAGCTTTCACTTGACAGTTACTGAAAGGACTTTGTCAGAGTAAAACCAAACTAAAGAAGGGAGACATAAAGCTCTGTCAGCTTCACCTGCACTTATTAAGAAGCTTCTAAAACTTCTTGCATGGCACAAAATTAAAACATAAGGATAGGGTGATATCTAAGCATGTCAAACAGCAAAATGCAGGGAATTTGAGTTCTTCATTCATTTTTTTCAAAGCATTTTGATGAAATTCTGTGGCAGGCTGTGTCTAATCCCATCTCTCTGCTAATACTCTTGCCATTATAGCATCAAGCTGAAGACCTGAGCAGTCTTGCAGGAGCTCATCAGGGAGAGCCAGTCAGGAGCTGCATTTCTCAGCCTCTCTCAAGCCTACCTTCAATAGGCAGCAAAGACTGAGGCCTCATTTAGTGCACATTGTCACTGACCTAAACTGCTGTTTTAGTATTGATTTCAGTGGAGCAAAACAAGGCCCTTGCAGCTCTAACTGCAGCTATAATATATGGAAACTGGATAGTTACAGCTGAGGGCAAAATTAACTCCAGTATTTGGAGAGAGGGAGAAAGTTGTACATTTGCAATTATGAGGAACCAAAAATATTTTGAATTAGTCACAGGACATTCAATGTCTTAATAGCACAATTTAAGATTCTAGCATAAATAAATTCTGTTCAGAAATTTGTATGCAAGACAGCAGCAAATAGGCTGAGCTAACAGTCCTCTAGAAATATTAGCATTCTCACTGGTCTCAAAGGGTAGGTCATGTACAATTATGTGTTTGTGATAAACCACTATTGAAAGCTGAATTGGAAAAATAAGGTAGAAGATTATTTCATTGCTAACACAGGACTAATTTTATATCCAAAGCTGAACATCTATTTTCTGTAAGTGCCTCGGGTATCACTGGTTCAGTTAGAAAGGCAGAGAAGCTGGACATTTTGAGCAAACCCTTAGTGGTATTCCATGACTGATTTCTGCTTTTGTCATACATTTTCAAACACAAGGTGTAAGAAATACTTCTGAATTCAAACCTACCCTTATCAGAAGAGAGCACTGTTTGTTCTATTCATCACTCAATTCATGTGTAAGGAGAAAACTCCTACTACGGTTTTGCAGAGTTCCAAACACAACAATCTGAAAAAACTATTCCCAATGTCATGACCTTTTGCACAGAACTGATGTTTATTTATTTACTTTTATAAATTTGTATATGTTCAAGTTTTCTGCAATCTTGAAATAGCTCCAAGCTATTTCTCCAATTTTTCAATCACAGTCTCTACATTTAGGCACCAGTGCTTAATTGAGCATCTTGTGTTGGTACTTGAGCAATTTAAATGATGGCACACAGATTGTCACCATGCTGCAACTGCTTTGAAATTCACTTCCCACAAACATTTTTGTTACTAAATAGAGTTCTTGGTCTTGCATCAGTACTCAAAGGGCATCCAATCTCCCTGTAGCCTGTGAGATAGAACTCCAGCTGAATAGTCACAGAATGATTTAAAAATAATTATTTAAGCAGTCCATTGTATGATGGAGCACAAAGTAGGATCAGATCAAGAACTGAATGTGCAGTTCCCCAGTGTCCTGAAAGCCCTTACTAACAGCAATTAGAAACTCTGGCAGCAGCAAATGGCAAATGTGATTAAACTTAAATGGAAACAATTTTATTAAACTGAAGATCTGATTAGCAACTGAACCGCACAATGCAGATTTTCCAGCAGGAGTTACAATACTACCACAGTCTATAATTTAATGCTGAAATGAGTTAATTCATTTCCCCCTGTGAATGATGTGGCAAAGAATTTTTTTTTTTTAAACCAGAGGTGTCCATCTTCAAAATAATTCCTAGTGGATTTATTGTTGCTATTCACTAGGCTGTGTTGGAAATGACATAGATTATTAGGAAAGAAGGCAGATGGCAGCTCATTCACACCGATGGCTTCTCTTGTTTAAGGAACTCCTGGGGTAGGTATAGCAATAGGTATTGCTGCCCTTCCATTCTCTGTGATGATATTACAAAATGTCCACAGTTTACTTCCAGTATTTTTCCTTCCAAATTGTCCAGCAGAATTAAAGGACAGTCCCTGTTTGAAAGCTGTAAGAAATTGAGAGAACACATGCAAAATTATTCCATAAATTCCTTGCTTGTTTGTTTTTAAGCTGTTTGCGTGTTCTGAACTATCCAGCCAAGGTGTGACAAACAGAGACAGAATATCTTAGCCAATGTCTAGTACAGTCACTGCTTTTCTCAGCTCAGTCTGCACATCAGGCTCCCCCAGAGAATGTGATATGCGTTCAACTCATGACACACCTGGAATCAAACTATTATGTAAGAAACCCCATGGATCTAAACCCACCATGCTCAGTTTTATGGAAGCAGTGAATGTAGGCACGGCTCATGGACATGGGAAGACCTTGGTCTATGTATAAAAACCATTAAGACAAGATAATTCCTTCATTTGTAATTTCTAGGGATGTTATTGCTCAACTGCTCTTTCCAGGGCCATGTTTTATATAGTTGAGGGAGAGCTCTACAAAGAAAAGATTTTACCACGAAAGTGGGAGTTCAGCTAACACAGCACACCAATCTCTATGGATGTCTGTGGGTGGGTGGAAACAAAGTCCTGTTCACCATTTTCTATAGGAAGTGAAATGCTTCTGCAATCCATCAACAACATAAAAGGTATATGCCTTTTGATGCTTCAAGGCTTGTTATCACAGTGCAGTGATGTAGACTTTGACATACTCTGCACTCTTCTTGTAGGGAATCCCATTTTTGGTTTGGGTTTGGGTGACAGTTGTTCGTTAGAATGGAATTTGAGAGGAAAGAATGGAGTATTGTGTGTGTGGTGTGGGGATGTCTGATCCTCACTCTGGGTTTGTGTCATTATAACTGACTCTTTTGTGAGGGAAACAATGTTCCTCTTCCACTGCCTTCCCAATTCCCCGGCCAGTGATGCAGTGCATGCAGTCCTTCTGCCACTGCTGCCTTGTGTCTGCTGCCTCTCCACTTCCCAGCATTTTCTATGGGAAAAGAATCTCGTTCCTCACTCGGAAAGCTGGGAACAAAGCTCATTAGGATCTTGGCAGCATGAATGAAGCTTGTCATTTAACATCAGATTTCACTACAGCCGAACAGAGGATACAAATTGTCAGATAGGGAACCAAACTAGTGCATTCTATATTTAGTCATCTTTTTTTCCCCCAATTTTAGCATATTTTTTGCATGTAAAGTAGAAGAGTTTAAAGCTCTCACTGAAGTGTTTTTGAAAGTAATTCCGTTTCTTCTGGATCTCCAACTTTACTGTGCTGCCCTCTTTCTGCCAGACAATCCAAAGGTGCTTAAGGAAGTTAAGTGCTAGGGATAAGATGCAAGAGTTGATAAATGGCAACTCCCTTAACAAGGGAAATAACTTATATTTATATATTTCAGTTATTACAAGGAACGAGATGTTTATGTTTGTTCAGCTTGGGGTTTTTTTTGAGCATTTAGAATACAAGAAGTTATATGGACACCTATAGCTTAGAATAAATAGAATTTTGCAATTATTCAAATCACACTGAAATTAATCTTTTAAGAGTCTGAAGCAGCTTTTAATATTTAATTGTGAGTATCTGTAATAGTTGAGCTGCAATGAGACAATCTGCAGTAATGAGATTGATATCCTTGAAGTGATTTTCACTGATTTAACTAGATTGGATATGACTCATTTTATTTCAACTGCAGTTTAAACTCTGTATTTTTCTTGTGTGAGCAAGGCCTCAGAATTTAAAGTACACCAGAATGCAGTCTCACTCAGTTCAGCACATTCAACATCACTTGTTTTCAAATTGCATCTTTTTTTCTTGTGGGGTGGGGAGGTGTTAAATAAGTGCCAAGTCACAACACAAAACCCGTGGTTGTCATCTCTACAGTCTGGTAGGAATGAACCTGGCAGTGTGATTCTCGTGGGAGAATCAATGCAAAAGTCCTCTCTCTTCCTTTGTTTCTTGACAGACACACAGATTTTTCTCTGGAGTTTCCTAGGAGTGAAGCAGACTGTGCTCTGAGCTTAAGGCCTGGGTGTGCTCTCTTTAGGGTACTTTGCACCTGTGTTTTGTTGGAGCACAGGCTTCAAGTCCTTTCCAAACATACCAGTTTCACTGATGCAGTAAGTTCCAACTGCAAATAGTAGAACTGCTGTAGGAAAGCACAGCTTCGGTCCCTTATTAAACAAAACGTGTAAGTACAAAGTGTGTTAAATCATCAACTACAAAGCTGAGCACTTGCTAAAGAATGCTTGAGTTAAGCCTGTCTTTGGGCACCTCTTTTGTGCAATTTGGGGGACTGTATTAACAGTTCAGATGCCTTAGATGCCTGAAATGGAGTGGGATGAATAGAGGTCTAAAGCAGTTTCAGCTGATTACCTGCTTGGCTGCGGCTCCTGCAGCCAACAGTGCAGAAAAAGAACTGTAGCAAAGGCAGCCTGACCAATAAGCCAACGTTTGAGGCTTATGCCAAAAGAAGGGTCACTGCAATTTTCCCTGCACGCTGGATCATTGCCTGAGGTCCGAGAGCTGGTGCTGTGTGGGCACTGCAGCAGGCTCTGCACTGTCAGGGCTGATCTCTGTGGAAGGAGAACAGAACAGTTGGTTCTGACTGAACAGGTACTTGAGCTGACTGAGAAGGGGAAGCAGAGATGTGCCATTCCCATTAGATTTTTGTTAGCAAATAAGTACAAGTACTTTATACAAGTGTCTGTACTTACATCAGAACTTTATACAATGGTGATTGTTGTGTGGATGAGGAATGACATCAGAAAGGCTTAAGCCCAGATTATGAAAAGCTTGAAAAATTTCTGTAATGTAAAAAAATACACTCAGCCCATAATGCAACCTTGTGATTTTCTCACATGCCATGCTGCCTCACTATTTTGGGTGGAAAATGCTTTCAGGTCATAACTAAGGAGTGTACTTATACAAATAACTTGATTTTTTTTAATAATTCCTGTAGGGCTTAAATTGATTTAGCTCATCTGTGGTCTGGGCTGTAGTGCTATCATCTGCTTTTGCTAGGGCATCACTGAAAAGGCCATGCTATTAATTTCCTACAGTCACCAAGCATTTAGAGTGGATAGCTTATTTGAAAAGATTATTTTAGCTATTTAGGCTTGGATACTGGAAGTGCAGCTCGTCCTTTTGCCTTCAGATGTTTTGTTGGACTGTTTCATGGAGTATTATTATTCTCTAACTCCTATGGTTAGAAACTGCATATGAGAGCTTTCATTTTATGATTAAACATGTGGAAAGGGTAAAGTATTTCCCTATATACAAGATCTTTGCAATTGTTTTGTTAAATTGAAAAGGCATTGTGGTTCACTGGAATTTCTAAGTCTAAAGAGGCTTTTAATACATAAAGCCTAGTTTTCATGTTATTGAAGGGTTTTAAATGTTATATAAAACATTGCTAAGCAATTATGTCCTAGATACAAACTCAGCTTCCATGAACTACAAAGCTCAGTGTGTGTCTGGGTGCTGCTGGCTGCAAGGCATTATCTGGGCATGTTTGATGGGGAATTACATGCCCTAGAAAGAAAATTAATAAAGACATCTTCTTTCAACCCTAAATTTTCTCCCTAGTTCGCTCTGTGATTAAAAAGCACATTAATATATGCAATCCTAACACCTAAAATCACACAGCCCATTTTTTTTTTTGTCGTGTCCAGGCCTTCAATAAATCAAGCAACTCAGGGGAGAGTTGTGGGAACCTCTGTATTATCTCTTCTTTTCCTGATGAGCTGGACCACAGTAAATAGGCTGTGTAGAGCTCTGAAAACCCAGCCTGTTTCAAAGGACCCTTTCAGCTGCAAGCCATTATGTCATCCCTTCTCAAGAGCTGCCCAGGCCTGCAGCTCTGTAAAAGCTCAGAGTGTTTGTCCTGGGTGGTTGGACAGAGTCCAGGACTTGGCCATGGCTTGGGATGCAGGGTGAGTGGAACATGCACAGAGCAGCTGCAGGTGAGAACCAGGGGGGTGTGTTGGACTTACAAAAGAATTCCTCTTGGGAGGACTTGTCAGTAACACTGGAAAAGTGAGAGGGTGCTATGAAAAAAAGTATTTATATCACATCCTTTAAGAATCTAGGAAGATGTTTTTATGCACCCATTCTCTGTGAAATTATGAGCAAATTGTCACAGGATGTTGCGTTCTCATCTCCTGACTCGGAGCATGTCTCCTGCAGTCCTTTGAGGGATCACCAGTGGAATGTAAAGCTTGCCTATAATAAGATCTGTGATGAAAAGTTGCTTCCCCCACTTTGTTCACTGTGGCATGGCTTTGATAAACATCCATCTGTGTGTGATACACAAATTCTTTTCTAAATTGCAAAATCTGTGGAGGCAAAGTTAAGTATTTTTGACCCTTAAGTTTCTTTACCCCTTTCTTATCTCTCCTTGAGTAAAACTTGCTTTTTTTTGATGAACATAGTTTATCATCTTCATTTAACTGGTGAATTCTCTTTTATCTGCTATTGTTACTTAGTGTCATCCATAATGATTTTAGGGTTCAAAATACTGGCAAAAATTTCTTTTTTCTTTGGGACAAAAGGCGTAGCTTATAAGAATGTGTATTTTTAGTATCCCTTTACAATAAAGTTTCTCCGAATTGCTGTATCTGTGGATGCAGTGTCCAGATTACCCTGTGGAATTTCCAAAGGGAAAGAAGGAGGAGGAAGGTTTTGTACACGGTTTCAGGAGAATGTCAGTGAAAGTTGAATAAACTGAGACTGAATGTCATTGGTAAATGACTGAATTGCTACCTGTGTAAATCCACTTGTGACTATGTTATACCCCACTTCAAACTGTTTATTTTGTATCTACTGGAGATTAATCACTGAGTTAATGTTCAGTTACACGTTGATCAAGGGGAAAGCAAGACTACAAATTAGCACCGAGATCAGCCGTGGTCAAATGGCATTTTGAATTATTGAGAGGCAGCTGCAACCACTTTCATTGCCTAGGAGGGTAACATTCTGCACTATTGGTGATCTGGAATGCCTTCCTGGTTCACTTTTTATTATTATTACTATTATTATAAATATTATTTCATGGTCTTAAAGCAGGTCTCAAACTTTGATGTATTTAGTGTTGCTTTGAGAGAGGATTGAGGAGCTGTCAGAGTAATTACCGTGCAGGAGCTGCACAGTAATTTTCTGCAAATAGGTTCTTTAACTCACAACCTGTGAAAATCCTGTTGACAGCAGGGATCCTTGAAAGTATAAATTCCCTTCTGAACACATATTTAACGGTTTGAAGAAACAACAGCACCTTGTGGAGCTTCAGGAAGGCCCTGCCTAATGGAAATAAATGAGTGGTGCTGGGAGATGAAGCAGAACAAGGTTGTAGGGCCAGAGTTTGTCCCTCCCCTGGCTCCCATGGCTCTCCCACAGCACACCCTGCAGCCAGCCAGGGTTGTATCCTGTGGGATAGAGCTCAGGAAGAGCTCCTGTGGTTCCAGAGATGGGATGGCATGGGAACACAAGGTGGAGGAGGAAAGATGACTGAAGGATCCACAGCTAGGGTGGGAATAATATCTCATGGATGATGGAAACAACAAAGTGGAATTAAGTTCAACTTTTATTGCCATGCCTCAATTATTAGTAGATGTCATAGACTAGTGTCTAATTAATAAAGGAGCTAAAGGGAAAGAGGGTGATGGTGGTTCTGCCATCCTGATGCAGATGGAAGGAAGAAAAATAGAACTGAGTTCACATATAGGGAATAGTTTGTATCTTCTGGAAGTATTCTATTTCTAGAAGTTTAAAAATTAAAAAAAAATAAAAAGGAGCACAAGTGATTTGGAAGATAAAACTGTTTTGTAACAAGCTAGTAGATGTGAGCAGCTACAAATTACTCTTGCTGCTGGGGAAAAAAACATCCTTGGAAATTATGTAGAAATTGATTTTAAAAGTAAAATGTGCAGTAAAGTAATAGTTGTAGGAATCCAATGAAATACTGCCTGTCCTAATAAATCTTTGCTGTCTATAGTTAGTATTTTGTTTGTCTTTTCTTTTGGAAGTTACATTTCAAATGCAAAAATAATTCTTCAAGTTGATGTTTTAAAATGCAGTTTTACCTTTTCTTGATGCTTTTTTTTAATTGTTTTTTGTGAGCCTGAAAAGCCTAAATCGTGAGTAAAGGAATCTCATTTTTCACATAAGCAGAAGCATTAGTTCTAAGAAAACTCTTTGCTAGAAAGTGGAACTGTGCTTAAAACAGGGCAAGGAGCTGTCAAGGAGCTGTGTGACCTGCATGCAGCACTGCCATTATTTGGCAGCACTGCCATTATTTGGCAATTTATACAGAATAAAATAGGTAAGAGAATCTGCAGCTGTGTACGTCCATAATCATTAGTAGTGATTTTTCTTCAACAGGCACAGGAAATATGTTTAAATTATATTACTTAATAAATACATCTAATATAGCAGACTGAAGATGGGTTTTTTTATTTTTTGTTTGTTTGTTTGTTTTTTGTGTGTGTGTGTGTGTGGTTTTTCTGTTTTTGTTTTTTTTTTTTTTTTCTTTTGGGGAAGAAGGTATATATAAAAACGCTCAGTTACCTTTCCCCCCCACTCTGCAGGAGCACCTGTCCTGTTTGCAATTTTTGCACAGAGTTAACAATATTTCCTGCTGCACAGACAAGGCCTGGACACACCAGCTCCTCTGAGCTGTGTGACCTTTCAGCCAGAGGAGCAAACCCTCACAGACTCTGTATGGCAGTCAGGGACACTGCATGTGTACTGGCACACAGGTTCCAAACTAATGAGAGGACAGGGGAGCCAGCATTCCAGCCTCTGGAGTTGAGCAGAGTTTGCTTTTCATTGCAGAACAAGCAGCAGCAGCTTCCCAACTGTTGAGCTTTCTGGCAGCAACGTGGTCTCTTGGCTTTTGCACAGGCACAGCTCTTTCTGCTATTCCTCCTGTGGTCACCCCAGTAACTAAACCCTGAGCACCAGCATGTTGCAGCAGGAACGTGCTCTGACACATGCCATGGAAGATAACTGGTGCACAGCCTGAGTAACAGCTGAGAAGAAATGAGCAAACACCTCAAAAGGTATCTCCGAGCCTCTGCTTAACAGACGGCAGCAGTCCTGTTTCCCAGGAACCCAGAGGGAATAGAGAGGGACAGGAAAGCAGCAGGGTGCTATTTACTTCATACAATTCTCAACCAGAATGTGATAACATGTATCTTAACATCCTTTGTACAGCCTCCCTTTCCCTGGGATATAAGCAAATGACTTCCTACCCCTCCGGTTCCCTTGTAGAGAAGACAGACAAATATTGTGAGAAGAGACCACAGATACCTCGCTGACTTCAGTAGTGGGGATTTGAAGGGGTGCAAAGTGTATCTTTACCATTTCTAGTACAGATATTTAAGTATCTCTTATCTGCTTCTCCAACTGCATGCAAGTTGCTATGGGCAATTCTTCTAAACCGAGGAAAATCCTGCCGTGGATTGCACTGCCACATTCTCCTGAAGTCTGAAGCTACCTGGATGTCTCCCAGGAGGTTCATTCATGCAGGGCAGCAGGCCCAGGGAGGCCCCAGGGAGATCCTGCCATGGGGAGCCTC